TTACTAGCTGTCTAAAAACACATGTAGATTTTAAAAGCCATTCCAGCAAATTGAAAATGCAAATGCTCTCCAGATTCGCCGAGCTCTTTGCTCTAGTATGTGAGGAACGACCCCAAAAGCTTCCCTGTAAATGAAGCACTTTAAAGAACTTTAATTCAGCGTGTTAGCAGAAAAGGCTGCGTGTTTCTAATAGGAATGCTTTCAGGATGCATTGGGAGAAATGAAATATTTTGGCGGGACCTTGAAGCTAAAACTCTGCGGCGCCATCCCACGAAGCTCAAATAATTTGATAAAGTCAATCAAAAAAAGTAAAAAGTGAATCTCCGCATATTTGTGCACTTAGAATTTTCCTCCCACAGGAAAAGAAACGTCCCAAAATCGTTTGCAGTCCGGTTACAATGAAGGCGTTTTTCCCTCAAGGTCTAACATGTAGAAAGTGTGATTTATTGGAGTCTGAGCGCTATGCAGTCATTTCTCTTCTCCCTATATGACTTCTATAAAGCTTTAAAACTGAAAGTTAATAGAGGGAATACGATTTAGATTTCTTGTTTCTAAAAAAAACAGCCTGGCAAACAGTTTTCAGTTTTCATTCAACCTTAAAAAAGGCATTTGTTGTACAGCGCTGAATAAGGTCAAAGGGCAGGAGGTTACTGCAGAACCGCTTCAGTCCAGTTCACACTCTGCCAATCAGACGAGTTTCTGATTCGGTTCTTTCTATTCTAACGAAATAAATTCGACTGGCGTTTTAGTTTTTGTTTTGTTTTGTTTACGGACAGCAGTGTGAAATTAGATTGATCTCAAAGTGAATTGAATTTCGTTTTTTGTTTTGTTTACTTTAGGCGCTCCTGACCTTTTATAACAAGTGAAACTATTATTCCAGTTTATATAACAGCTAAAATAACACGTGGCAGCAAAAATGTGACTTTTGGCTAGAACATCGGCACATTTCGTTCATTTCAAGATTACTGAACAATTGATTAACTCAAGTTTTTATATATGCTATAATTTCTGCCAGAATATCACATTTAAGTTTTTTTTATTATCTTTATTGCATCAGGTTTCTTTCCTGTTAACTGTTTAAAAGCACGTTTGATAGTTTAGGCTTATTTTGAAAATTTTTCATTCAATATTGTGAAATATCCGCTTATTTATCATTCCTATAAATAAAATATATTTACAGCAACAGCCTATACGAGTAAGCTATTGCAATCAAATTAAGTATAAAGTTTAAAGTTTCAGCACCCAGGACAGCGCCCGTAGCTACCAGTTTTAACTCTGCAATTAAAATAAAACAATAATAATACAAATATGCGCTAAAAATAAAAGTAAAATAAAAGTAAAATAAAGAGATCGAAAACGTGTCTCATGTCAAACAGGCTACATATAGACTACTGGAGATCTCCACCAGCGCCACCACGTGGTGAAGAGCTGACCTATCCAGGGGAATGATACTGAAACGACGCTGGAAAAACGACCGCGCTGTTACCCGAAACCACTTTCCGTTTTTGTTGAATGTGAACGGTTAAAAATACGTCTTTTTCCCAAGTGATTTAAAGGACATTAAAGTGAGGATTTACATCTGGCGTTCATCTGGTTACTTGGCTATGGCTCGTCTAGGCGTTTCGGTTCATCATTGTTTGGGAAATTCCTAGCTCATTTGTGATGTTCACATCAGGTGTTCCTTTCCGTGAGGAATCGGGAATTAGACGCACCTGTTCGAGAGTAAGTCTAGTTCGTGCTGCAAAGAAATGAAACACGTAGAAGAAAGTTGGGCCAAAGTCTTTTATGTAAAAGCTCGTTTCATAACTCAGCGAATCTCCTCCTGTAGGGTTCATCAACGATTAATAACGGGTAATAATGAAACTGCTGGGTTTATTGGTGCCAGAAAAACAGTTTGACAGTTTAAAGTGTAGAATACGATCGAAAAAGGAGTTCTGGAGGGAACACATATTGGTGATGATCAAATTTCAGGTTTTCCCCCAACTCAGCCCCCACGCTTCTCTCTCTCTCTCTCTCTCTCTCTCTCTCTCTGATAACTAATAACTCCAAAAAATATTAAAGCTTACGCGTACACTCTTAAAAATGTCTTTCGTGAAGTCAGTGGTTCTAAAGAGAACTATGAAGACTTTGAATGCATAAATGGCTCTTTGCATGTCTGTGAAGGAAAAAACAGTTGTATAAGGTTCTTTAAAGAACCCTTTTAAAAATAGATTCTACATTCAGAAAAAGCTACTGTACATGTACATTTTTGTTCATCAGGATACAAACAATGTAAATGTATCCTCAAAGGTACAACGGTGGTTTTAAGGTCCAATTGTGCACAACTGTGGGAAAGGAACATATTTATACCTTCTCATAACCTGATGTTCTAAAACAGCACGATAAAATAAAAACCTAAAGTGAGGACAGGCTGTGCGGAGTCAATACGACTTAGAAAACTATGACTGCAGTGGATTATGGTTCAATAATGTTCACTAACTAAAGGTACTGATGATGTACTCTTGAGGATACCACCCCCGTGAGAAGAGGGGTACCATTACCTTTTTTTCTGATAGTGTATAGCACTAAAAAGGATTCCACCATTGTTACGAGTCAAAGAACCCTTGTTCATTACTATATAGAACCTGTTTTTGTCTCTATGAGTGCAGAACCCAGTCAGTTTCACTCTCAGAAAAAAAGGTAGTAATCTGTCACTGGGGCAGTACACCTCTTGTCACTGGGGTGGGACCCTCAAGGGTACATCTCGGTACCTTTAGTCAGGGAACATAATTGTACCATAATCCATTGAAATGATATTTTCAATGGTTATATTGACTCCACACACCCCGTCTCGTCTCCAGGCTTTTTATTTTATTGTTCTAATTTAAATCATTAGGTTATGTATTTGCATATGTATTATGAATATGTACAAATACGTACCTTCCCACTGGCAAAAACTTTAAACTTTTGAAGCACACAGCTGGACCTTAAAATCACTGTTGAGGGAACATTTACATTGTTTGTACATTGATGAACGAAAAATGCACCTGCATAGGACCTTTATTTTAGCGTTAAATCAACAGTAACAAAAACGTGTTTAGTGACGTAACTAAAGCAGGGCGTGAGCGTTGTAGGCAATCCTTTATTTTTCTTTTCTTTTTTTGACAGAGATGATCCCCCCATTATCGCCCACTGAGTGAGTACTAATTATGAGTTCAGCGCTTCCACTCTCAGGTGTCCTACATTCACATGTTCTCTTCATTATCGCTTTCTCCTATTTTATCTTTGACCTCCGTAAAACAAATGAACATTCAGTCTCTGTATGCTTCAGATAAAGTCAGATCTCCCTCTTCTCGGAGTCCTCCTCTCTTCTACCACTGGGCTCCTATTTCTCGTGCGAAGGTTGGCTTGGTGTGTAAACAGCGTCCTCTCAAGGCTCGACATTTTTCTGTAGGAACCCCATTAGACCCACTTCAGACAACACCTTCACACTTTTTCCTCTTTGTCTGACTCAACTATCCATCACGGCGTTTCCATATGCGCTCAACTTTTACTCAATCTTCTTGTTTTCTTGACACCCTGATCTTAAACATTGCATTATTGATACGGGTAGTGTCTGCTAGTTTTATTTATTGATGCGTCAAAAGTAATTCAGTCATTAATATGCCTATATACTGTCAAATAATACATAAAGGTTTTCAATTATTGAGGAATTTGACCTTATCAGGCTATAATCACGGGACACTTTTTAGGTCACTGATGCATATTCTAAATATTTAAATCCACAGAGTGAAAAAATCGACTAGGGTGGTTAAACAATGGTTAGTCATTAAAACTACGGCTGTAGCTGAAAGCCTATTGTGAATTCCCGCGTGAAAAAGTGAACACCGCCGATGTGGATTCAGCTAAAATGGCTCGTCATTGCATCACTTTCAGGCAGCGATCCACTGAGGGCTAACAGAGCTCAGGAGGATAAACGGATAGGTTGCTACACTCTTATTTATTTATTTATTTATTTATTTAGGCATCGGTGGTAGTACACAATAGTTCCTCCATCTACGTTTATTAGACGATGACAGACACTAACTAAAATAAAACAAAGCATTCCGCCACCGCACCAGCGACACATGAGCTCCTGATGATCCATCAGCACCTCCAGACCAGGCAGCTTCACTCCAATAACCAGCACAGAGCTGAGGGCGTTCAGCTCCTCACTGAGCGGAGACCCTCAGCGCTCATCGGTGTTGGACTGAATCTGACTCAAACCTGCGTGAAGTGCTATTAAATCAGCCCGTGCGTGTTTATTATTGTATCTGCTCTGGAGCGTTTCTGTTTCATTAACCCAGAGCAGTGCAGACACAGAGATTCCCGTTAATTACCATGAAATATAATTAGATACTGATCACAGTGGACAAGAAAGAGAAAAACAAGAAGAAGAGGAAGAGCAAGAAGAAGAAAAGAAGAAGAAGAAAAATAAGAAGAAGAAGAAGAAGAAAAGGAGGAAAAGAAAAAGAAGGAAAAAAAACTAAAAAGAAGAAAACTAAAAATAGAAGAAGAAGACGAAAAACAAAAAGAAAAAAAACAAAAAGAAGAAAACTAAAAACAGTAGAAGAAGAAGGAGAAGATGAAGAGAAAAAAGAAAAAGAAGTAAATGATAAAAAGACCAAGACGAAAAACAATTTTTAATATATAATGCGAAAAAGAAGAAAAATAAAAGGAAGGGGATGAAAACAAAATCAGAAGACGAAGAAGAAGAAGAAGAGGAAGAAGAAAAAGAATGAAGAAGAAGAAGAATGAAGAATGAATTGTTGTGCTTCCTATCTGTCATGGCCGATAAACCAGAGCAATTACATTTTTATTTTTTTTATTAAAAAAAAATCGATGCAGTCTGAAAACCCTAAAGCTTTAGCAGCTGATCTCTCCGTGCTGTACTCCTCCCTCTCTCTCTCTTTTTTTATCTCTCTATCTAAGTCTCTATCTCCGTCTCTCCCTCCCTTTCTTTCTCTCCCTCCCTCTCTCACCTGAGTCTCGGACAGGTTGAGCTGTCTGGCCAGTTCAGTTCTCTCGCGCCCCACCACGTACTGACAGCGCTGGAACTCCAGCTCGAGCCGGTACAGCTGCTCCGCGGTGAAGGAGGTGCGCGTGCGCTTGGGCCGGTCCAGGTCCAGCCCTTTGGGCAGCACGATCTCCCGGATGGTGCCCTTAGCATCTGCAGAGGAAAAACAGTCAAATAAGTCACAGAAAAATACAGAAAAATCGGTCCAGTGCGCGAGCTTCAGTCCCGATCACAGCAGCAGACTTTTAACTTCATTAGTGAATCTGCAGGTCAGTGTTGGCCGAGTCTACGACCATGAGCGGGACTAAACGATCTACATTTCACTGATTCAGCATTCAGAAGAGAAACAAGTACTAAATAATACAAAATACAAAATAATGATAACTTAAAAAAATCAAGTAACCACACTTAGCAAAAAGGGTCCTGTATAGAACTGAACACAAAAGTGTAACCCTTTTTGTGCCATAAAGAACCATTTTAAAAGAGTTCTTAAAAAAACATATACAATTGGTTGTTCATCACAGAGAAGAATCATTTGAATGCAGAAATGACTATTCATAATTGTAAATATGTAAAAGGTACGTAATAAGACAGTGTAATCAAATATATATATATATATATATATATATATATATATATAGAGAGAGAGAGAGAGAGAGAGAGAGAGAGAGAGATATATATATATATAGAGAGAGAGAGAGAGAGAGAGAGAGGAGAGAGAGAGAGAGAGAGAGAGAGAGAGAGAGAGAGAGAGAGAGAGAGAGAGAGAGAGAGGGAGTTATATATTGCTATATTGCTAAAGCAGCGAAAACTAAAAAAAACTTCTACTCATTGTTTGGTCTTAATGCAATGTTTATTCGCCTAAAGATTTTTCTTACGCCGTCTGTTAAGTCATCTTAAGTGGCCTCTCCTGTAGGGAAAAACATCTTGAATGAATGAATAAATTTCATTTTTCATTTTAATAGAAATGTGAATGACACGCTACAAATAAAGCGCTCGCTTTCTAATAAACGGAGCAAACAGGCCTGAAATCTCCGGGCTTTTTAAACGATGTCTAGCAGATTTAGCTCACAGTCAGCGAACTGAATCTAGCAGCGACCATCCTCAGTGCAGCAGCTCACATTATCACCTGCCCTGACTCATGTGGGGTATACAGGAGTCCTGCATCAGAGCGGGTTATAATTGTCTGTATATACACAATTAAACCACACAAAACAAATCCTAAGTGCGCATGCGCCGTGCCTGTGATTACGCTATAGCTATTTAGAAAAAAGTGCTCGAATCCTGCAGCACTGCTGCTAAATCACTCTCATCACACTGACAGACAAAAATGCCCTTTAAATACATAAATACATTAACTTAATATGATTGCAGTTTGTTTTACGCATGTTGTGTTTTAACAACTGTCCTCACACACATTCACACACACACACACACACACACACACACACACACGCACGCACGCTCCCAACCGGAAAAGAACTGCACGTGCACGTAACAAGACCTGCATGGTTTACTTCATAATAACTGAACGAAATTACATTAGCTCAATATTTAATGTTTTTAGCCAATCACAGCGCACACAGGCCAAACAGTGTACAGTGAGCACACACAGCGCGAACGACGGGTCCAACTGGACAAACACATGTAATAAAACTGTAATAAGTTTCTCCTTATGTTATTACTAGACTATAATATCTAAATAATGATCTAATATCGTGTTTTTAATGACAGCAGAGCTGAGTGCTGCGGTCTCCTCTCCAAACGGAAGGCGAGAGCTCCACCTCTCTGCAGACACCACCAACACGCACTCTCTGTTTTACACTAACTTTAACAGAACAGGCGTTTACACTCTTTATTTAGTTCACTGCATTATTGGAGGAGTCGGTTGTTAATGTTATTGTTGTTGTTGTTTTAATGGCTCCCTCTGAGGAGTGTTAGCCGGGCTGTGACGCAGACGCGCTGACCCCTGGGTGACCCCGCTTTAGCGCTGAGCTTTAAAAACACACTGTGGCTCTGGCTGTGGTGATCGAGATTGAGGCACGAACTCGGTGGCCCAAAACTGCTCCGAAATGCCCCCCAGCACCGGCAGAGAGACCACTCACTGCAGCCATTACTGACCTTCAACTTCCGGCCACCCCCAACAACGAGCTCGGCTAACCGTTCTGCTGCTAACTGCTCATTTAAAACGCATAAAAGCATCAGGACACAGCATTAATACTGACCAAAACACAAACAATAGCCATATTAGACTCACCACATAGTGATATTAGACACATCACAGGTCAGAAGCGGTCTATGTGGCCTATATCACTGGGCATGACTGGACATTCAATTCTATTTTATTTTATGTTTTTCGCTTTCTTTTTATTTTCGTTTTTCGTTTATGTCTGGCTGGACTTTGTTGTGGTGGAGCGTGACTGACCATAGGACAAAACCTCAAACACAGTAGGTTGGGGTTATTTCCAGTAAAATTCAGTACACGGGCAGATAAAACAGCAGTTTTATTTCAGAAAAAAGAGGCCTAGCATTGTGTAAGATCTAGCATGTACACTGTGATTAAATGACCTATAAAACGATTTTTTAAAAGCCATGTTATAAAAAATATGGACACAGTGGATGGACAGAACTTTATATGCCTTTACAGCTGCACGTGCAAACATAAAAAAGCTATTCTGAATGTCTCTGCTCAAATTCATGGTTTATCTATTTGTAGATTTAATAGCAAACAATAACTTAATAATAGTAATCTACGTTAATTTATTTCTACATTTAATAGCAGATCTGAACTTATTAATAATAATCTTCAACCTCTCTGGTGAAACCATATTAGCATCCTGTTGTTACCATTAGCATGTGTAGAGGGGATGACTATAAAAAGACTAGCAAGCAACAGCGTGAAATTAAATCAGTTTCTAAATGTAAAATTTCTAAATGTAAATTTCTCTGTTTGGAAAATGTTTTCTTAATTTATCTAATTCTTGGTATATTTTTGTGAGCAAAATAAAGGGAAAAATATAATTACGTATACCGCAGAAACTGCATGCTGTGGTACTGTATCTGTTTCATTGTCAAAAAAATCTGGAAATAAACACATTGGTGTCGAATAATTTAAAATATTACTATGTTCAGGGAAACAGCAGATGCTATAAGCCTGGTGTTTACTATTTCTGCATAATAGTCGTTCTACTTTTCACTATAATTTCGTGTAATTCACTTCAAATCTCAAAACACACACACACACACGCACACACACACACACACACACACACACACACACACACATACACAGAGAGAGAGAGAGAGAGAGATAGAGAGAGAGAGAGAGAGAGAGAGACTCATGTCTCCAAGAAGAGTGTTTGTTTGCTAACATTATATCACCATCCCTGAACAAAACGTGAACACTCAGCCCTTCAGAATAGAAATATTTTACACTCATTCTCACAATTCCATTTGAAATCCTACTGCACTGTTTAGTATCTGCTCTTCTTTAATTGCACTCTTTTCTTCTGTTTTTTGTCATTTAAATTTACAGTCACATTCGGTTCTAATTCTGCACAGTAAGATCCCCAATTCACACCTACAGTGTTCATTTACGTCCAGCCTGAAACAAAATAAAACTGTAAGAATTTAATGCAGCGCTGGAGAATTATATTTATATTTCTCTGTATATTTTTATTTCGTCAATAAAAAAAAACTACAATATATTTTTCTCAGGTACATATCTCAGATACTCTGAGAAATGCATTATAAAATACAGTAATCATTTTAATCTGCTCATCATCAACAGTTACATGTACTTTAGCTATTATATAATTACGTGCATTATTATTTAGTAATAAGAGAAACCTACATTATGATGTTATACAACAAGTACACGTAATAAAAATAAAACGACAGAAGGGTGACAAAGTAGTACATTTATGACGTGAAGATTCTTGTGGAAGTTATACTTTGTCCTATTTAGTCACAAACACGAACTACATGCTTTCTTTCTGTTGTCAGATTAGCTGTACATGTGCCTACATTAAAACCAGCGGACTAATGTGAGTGCCACACGTAATAACATTACATTTACACGTGTTTACATGAATACTCCACGTAATAGATTTATAATGGCACCTATTAACATTAGTGTTAAAGAATTAAAATTGCACGTTTTAGCAACAATACTACATGTAATAGAATTAATATTGCACGTATTAACATGAATACTGCACATAATAAAATGATAATTACACGTATTAACATTAATACCACATGTAATGGAATTAAAAGTATAAGTAGCTACAACATCTAGTCACAATTTGCAAAGTTTTGAAGAAGATGAAGATCCATATCAGACTATACTTTTAGAGGGCGTATTTTATGTGTCAATTTCAAATTTTGAAATATTTGAATTTTGAAAAAGTTTTGGGCATTTTGTCTATTTTTTTTATTATCATTCCTACTATTATTATTATTATTATTATTATTATTAGCTACATTATATTTACTATATTATTTACTACCACTCATGGTTTACCCCCTCCCCTTCACACGACCAGCACTTCTTCTTCACCACACGTACCTCTGACTAAAATCCTCCTGCAGTAGTCCGGGTCCACTCCTAAAACTTTCTCGTGTCCGTCCTCGCTGGAGGAGGTCGGGGTGGACGCGGAGGTGCCCGGGGTGTCGGCTGAGCTCTGAGCCGGGGACCGGCTGCCCAGCTCGGGCCGGCTCTTACACTCCCTGGCCCGGTCCCGGCACACTGAGCTGGGTGCGCAGTGGTTTCGCTCTTCGGCGACCCCATCGCCCATACTCGTGGCTTGATCAAACATGAAACAAACTGGAGCTTCTGCTGCTGCGCTCAGCTCGGGTTTCTCTCCCAGCTCTTTCAACCTGTGTTCACTTCTTTCGAACTAAAAATGCAGGAGAGGGAAACTTGACCCCCCCTTCCAATAAAAAATGAAAAAAAAAAATAGTAAGAGAGAGAAAAGTCCGGTCAGAGTCCAGCCACGGAGAGCAGTGACTGAGCCCAGCTCGTCCCCGACGCTCTCGGCATGGTCCGCGGTCCAACCTCCCTCCGCACAGCTGTGGAACGACGGGAACCAGAGAACCAAGGAACCGGGGTGCAGGTGCAGGTGGAGAGGGGGGTCCCCTACGGACGAGCCCAAGGACCCTCCTCAGCTACACGCACAGGCGCGCGCACGCATGCACACACGAAAAGAAAATGCATCGCCTATTGTAGCCTACATTGAGTTTTCGAGGCGCTGGGAGGTGCTTCACTGCTTAACCACGTAAGAGGAAGGAAAAGCTGAAGGACGGCGGTCCAGTCAACAAATGCCTTTAACTCGTATCTCCCCCCCAAACCCCCCTGGTACAGTTGTTTCTGGGGTTTTTTTTCTGTCTTTCAAAACCCGTGTCCAGTGAATTTACCCGATGCGGCTCTCTCAGCGGTGCAGCCCTGCTAGGAAGCGCTAAAGCTCTCGGCTGGCGTCAACACTGGGCTAATTTCAGAGCCAATGCTTGGGATTGTATTAGCCAGCTAGCTAGCTAGCTCTTATTATCACTCTTTTTTTGCCCCTCTACACTGGAGCGCGCCAGCTGGTTTAAAAATAAATATCTTATATTTCGATTTGGAGGAGGCTTCGGATGCTTCAGATGTTTCAGATGTTGCTCGCAGCCATTGGTCTGCGCGAGGGGACGGTGTGAACATAAATAATCCTGGCGGCAGGATACGGTTTTAAATTGACCGTCAGTGCCCGCGTCATTTCCGGCGTGTGCGAGCCGGCCCCTGATTGGCTGAGAGAGTGGAGTAAGAGGAGGAGCCCAGGGAGATTAGGGGTGTCAGCGCGCGGGGGAAACCCGGATTAGGGGCTGGGTTTTTAATCCAGCAAACTCTGCCGGCACCAACAGCTTCCAGTGGAACCTTTAACAAAGTTCACAACGTGTGTTTTCTCTTCACGATCGTGTAGGAAAGCCGGCCTTCTGACAACCCAGATACTTTAAAGTGAAGCCATCAACTGCACACACACATCTTTTATACTCTCCTTAGAAAAGCGTTGGTGATTGAGCAGCCATGCATGAGCCCAGAGTCACCATGACCAGTGAAAAGCGTCGACTAAAGGGGTACACCTCCTGAAAAAAAACGGGTACAGGGCACAGGGCAGTCCATTTTTTCCTTACAGTGTATCCCAGTGTACCTGTAAAGTGTTCAGATAGGCCTACATTTTTATCCCCCAAGAAACAAAATATATAAATGTACCCTCGAAGGCAAAACAATGATCTTAAGTTCCAAGAAAAGTGGTGTATTTGTGCATTTACATGACATAACTTTATTAAAAAAAAAGAAAAAAAGAAAAAGAAAATAAAAGGCCTGGAGTCAAGACAATCAGTTTCAAAATACAACTGCATGTGTATACAATTATATTCCTTAACTCAAGACCTACTACGCCAGTGATTGATGGTGACAGGTCAGTTTATTCTTTATCTTTGAGTGTATAAAGCCCCCCAGCATTGAGCTGTGGAGCAGGGGGGCTGCGTTCTCTAGAGTGAAGGAGCTCCATCCTTGAGTTGGAGTGATCTAGAACTAATCATCCAACATCAGTACCTGACCTCACTAATGCTCTTGTGGCTGAATGCAATCAAACCTCACAGCAATGTTCCAACATCTAGTATAAAGCCGCCTCGGAAGACCAATAAAGTGAAGATGAGCTCCCTATGAACGCCCTTGATTTTAGAAAGAAAACGTGAGCTGGTGTCCTCAAACGTTTGGGCGTGTTTGTATAGGTGATAAATGCTCCTGCGTGTGAGCAGGCGTTTAAGTTTGTGTGCATCTGTGGTGGGTGGGGAGAAACACATCAGGGGCTTAAAGCTGGTTGGTTGAAGTGTATGACTATAATTGAGACTGTGTGTTTTTATTGTGTCTTGTGTGTGTTTGTAATTTGTATTGTAATTATTGTGTCTAATGTGCTAATTGCTTACCTCCCTGTGTTTCCCAGCATGTTTGCCTATATTGCATGTTTGACACAGGATGGAAATTAGCTGGCTAAAGCATCTTCTCTGATTTCAGATTCATATTTTTGTTTGCACATGGTCCTGACAAAGTGAATATAATAAACTAAACTGAAAGACAGAGAGTAAACAGCGAGGTGGGGCTGTATTGGCCTCACGCTGAGACTGGGCTCACAGTCAGTTTGTTGATGTGCTGCATTCACTGAAACACTGCGTGTGTTTATTAGAGGGGTTGATGTCTGATTTTTACCCCTAGTCAGTAGGAAAAGTTGTTTCCAATACTGTAAGAAACTAGAACATTGTTATAGTGCTGTGCAGTACATCTGTAATAGTCACCCCCTAAATATTCCTGCAGTACTGTCGTATAATAATCTCTAACATGTTTGTAATATCCTCTATAATAATCACATTTCCTAGAAGACTCTTACAGGAATCCTGTAGAAATTCCTGTAGTATTATTGTAGATCTGTTTCATAAGGATGTGACTTTAGGTACAAAACCATTACATTTGCTTGCACTTACAGAGCAACTTAATGCCCACAGAGCTTCAGGACCAACAGCGCAATTACTGGAAGATTAAACTTAAACTATCGGTTTGGTACAGATGAATGTGTTTTGACTGGAGAAATTGGCTGAACTGTGCGCTATTTGGCACCAAACTGCCTAAAAAGAGACGCTAAGTACAAATATCTAGCATCTAAAGTATAAACGTCATTTTCCTCACGAGTTGGAACACTTTTGTGAGGATTTTACGGCATCAAATTCCTACCCCTGACATTTATTTTAAGAAAACAACAATACTCACAGAAAGACATGTTCGCTTCAGCTGGTAAATCATTTCTGAAGTGCCAGTTTTTTAATAGGCGAGGTCCTCCTTATTTTTGAAAGGCATAAAGCAGCAGTGCTCGTCAATTTTGGTGACAAATGACGGTATTTTAGCCGCAATACATTCATTATTGTGCAGTATTGTGACATTTCTAATATGTACAGCCAGAGATCATTATTGGCCGGTCTCAGCTCCGCGGCGACTGAAAGTTGCCATAATTCACAATCAGCAAAATTAAAACCCTTTATCTAACATCGCAGCCCCATTAGGGCCAACGCAGTGCCATAATTACAGTTTTGCCACTTTCAGCAGTGTTTATCTGCGCAGCGCTGAAATGGCTCATTATTCAATTCAGCCGCTCCACACAGATTAAACTGTGAACGGAATGAATGGAGCTGTCAGTCAGAAAGGCACGGAGGACTCGAGCAACCCCACACACACAGTCAAGAGAGGGCTGATTGCTTCAGCTGCTCACACCTCTCTCTCTCTCCCTCTCTCTCTCTCTCTCATGCTCAAACTGGCCCCCAGCTCTTCATATACAGATCAGTAACCTGTATGTGTACAATATCAACACATATACACACTATACTATGATGATATTGCTACACATTGCAAACGCACCACTGACACGTGAATGTGCGGTGGTTAAAACTGAGCTGCATTATTAGCTGACCACGGCTATTTACGTTTCTTGGCCGTTGTGGATGCGTCGATTCGTTCAAATATTCAGATTTAGTCAAGCTGCTTTTAACACCCAAAACATGTAACGATTTGTTTTACACTCATTTGCATATCGCGATATCAGTGCAGCAATGGCTAATATCGCAATAGTGATAAACAAAGCATATGGTGTATAGCTCTAGTGTATATATTTCTGTTACTGTTTAAATGCCCATTTTCTTTTTTTCTTTTTTTGTCCGCTTAGAACGTTTGTGTATATAACTGTTCATATTTCATTTGTACATGACCATTTCCCAATTTCTCTCTATCCCTTGGAATTAAACAGGCTTGTGCTTCTATACTGAAATATGTAAATGGTCTCTGTTCGGATTGGCTGTCCTGTATTGTGCCTCATTCAAGAAGCAGACCGGGCTCAACACTCCTAACTTCAGTGTAGACAGGCAGGTCTGAATAACAACAGGTTGAAGAGGCAGATATGTGTAAATATGTTTTTTGTGACATCACAGAAACAGTGAATTCAAGCATATTTTGAACGGCACGTTTTGAAACTTCAAAAATGTTTGCAAATTATATCAAATACAGGCCCGTTAATCTGAAATTAATGACGTTTTGTGAAATTGCACTGGTAAAATATATAGTCTAAACAATATCAAACAACACACAAGTTGACTAAAAGAGGAAAAGTTGACAAACTATAATACTTTGTGTGTGTGTGTGTATATATATATATATATAGTGAAACCCTTGTCCTTCATTAGTGAGACCCTATAGAAACATAAACATAAACACTGTTTTTGCACAGTGTTACATATCTGTCATGTCTCTTCATCAGCTCCATGTATGCGCTCTGTGAGCTGAGTTAGGCTACTGCTGACCTTCTGAAGGGTGTCATGATTGCGCTGGGCTCATGGGTGAACATGCAGAAAGAGATATTATTAAATGTGGTGGATGTGTTTAATCTTAGCTTTACTAACAGCTGTCAGAAACTCATCTCTGCAGCGGTGAGAGCAGACTGAGTCCTCTGAGGGTCCGCCTGCCTGTGCTCTGGTCCTTATAAGGGTGTTCGAGGGGCTTCACTCTCTTCGAAGAAGAAGAAGAAGAAGAAGAAGAAGAAGAAGAAAAGAAGAAGATACACTGGTTTAGTAACCAGTCCGCCAACTTTTAGAAGTCTAAACATGAGGCAGTATTCTTCATTATTAGAGTAACTTCGTTATTAAAGAATTCAAGCTTCTCTTGAAGTCATTTGCACTGTTAAAACGTATTAAAAACGTAAAACGTAAAACAATCCGTAATCTTGCACAAGGTCAAAAATGTAACGCGTGGCAAATGAAGAAGAATCGCTCACAATGTAACAGTGTAATAAATAGTAATAACAATCTAGTAAGTTAATAAATTATAAAAAGTATTTTATGATATTTTTCTTCTTTTGTATTACTTCATAGCTGGAATGTAGCAAATTCCACACTACAGCTTTCCATGGTCAAGAAAATAATGCACTGCTGAAAACGTAATTCATTAAGATTTTATAAATATTTAATTAAAACAGAAATGTATGAAGAGGATTTTTTCGCACATTCACTCGCTGAAGTCTCTGAATGGAGAGCCACCTTCACAATGACAAGTGGCGTAAAAATGTATTAATAATTTGAATTTCTGTGTTTTAAAAAGTTCCTTATGCTGGGTAATTTTTAAACGCTTTGAACGGTTAGTAAGGAGCGCAGAAACTTTTCTAAAGTTCTCTGTGACAAAGTTTTGCAGATCGCTCTGAAAGTATTCTGAAGACCTTGGCGACCACAGAGCGCTGGTGAAAACCATTCTTCAGAGCTGAAAGGCTCGTGTTGTCTTGGAACAGGCCAATCCTCCAAAGCCAGGAGGATCTCAGAGAGGTGAGCCGGAGGTCAGTGACAGCTCAGCAGAGCTACAGGTTTGTGACGGCTGAGAGCTCACAGCGCGCTGAACACCTCAGCAGCTCGCAGAGAAAGGGTTCACATCTCTGGCTCATGAAATAAGATGCTGCACAGGAAGCCACGCATCGCCTTCAGCCTTAAACAAGGAATGAGAAACTGTCTCAGAAGTTAAATCCAGAGTCGCACTTGGTACAACTGCGACGCAGCGCACCACCCAAATATTACAGTTAATACAGAGAACAGAGATGTTTTCTATCACTCTGAAAACTGTCTTAGAGAAGATAGATTCGAAACTATTTCAAGAGCAGGAAAAGTGAATATAAAGCAAGATCAAATTTAAATATCAGGAACCCTCGGGGGAATACCAGGCAAATCCAAAAGAGGCTGGACATGTATCTCGACCAAGAATCTGCTTTGTTCTGACTAGTCAAAATAGCACCAAATGCAGGACGCTGGAAACGACACAATTATAAACAGCTCTAACATTATCATTAGTAACAGTGGAGTGAAAACTCCATTCATTATTTTCTATTTTCCGCGGTATTTCCAAGAGAGATTTTATTTCATTCAATTACTTACAGAATTTAACATGACACGGACCTGTTGGAGGTTTTGGCTTTGTTGGTTCAACACTGAGCTTTATTTCTGTGACCACTTACAAAAAACAACTTTAGTATTCATCTGTACTTGAGCTTAAGGGCGAAACTCGATATATATATATATATATATATATATATATATTGTTTTTTGTTTTGAAGTGGAAATTATTTTTGACACGGTTTTGTTGCATTCGCTGTAAATACAAAATGTGCGCAAATTAATTTTTTTAAATCTTATTTTAGAAATTTTGTATCACCCTTATAGCTCCCATTTGAAGACTCTTATCACTGCAGGAAGCGTTATATTACATGTATACCGCCATGGAAGCCTTTTGTTATGCTGTTAGAAGTTTCCCAGCAGAAATGAAGAAATGAGAGATTCCTGAAAGAAAAACTGGATTTTCGGTCAGCATCAAGAATTTTGTGTCGAATTATTTTCTCACAAGGAAAACAGCTGAGGACAGTTATTTGAAAATGCGTCCCACTGTACAGCTGGCTGGAGGTCTCTTCACCGCTCCTACTGTTCTGAATGAGGAACAGTTTCATTTCTTATTTTGTTTTTAAATGTTGCTGATTCCGTCTCAGCTGGACGTTTCGGAAGCGGAGCAATGCGGTTTATCCCCCTGGAGATAAGCGGAGCCCACCCTCAGGAAAAAGACACAGGAATTTCTACAGGATTCCTTTAAGAATCTTACAGTAATTTCAGACAGTTACTATAGTTCACTACAGGATACGTTATGATAAGAAAATGCAGAGATGCTAGGAGGTGAAAATAGAGACGATTACAGAAACCTGTGATTTAGTATTACAGTACTATAGTACTACGTTATTAAATAATAATATCATAGGCATTATACAGCATTCCAGAAATCTTAAACCTGCTTATAGTTTTAGTGTAAATCGTATACAGTATAAAGAGTTGTGGAGCTACATTTGACTTTGGTTTCAAACTCTCAGAATAATAGCCGGCAGGTTCGAGTAAACAGAGACTGCGTATATTCAACAGTCGGAACTAAGAGTCTGTGAGCTATAAGAGGAGAAGACAGAAGCCCTGAATAAATATCAGAGCTATAATGAGCTGCGCTGGACAGCTGGAGAAATTCTTAACATATCGTGGACGGAGAAGCTCGGACCAGCAGCAGCTCTCCATGGTTATATGAGGATAAATCTGGCCATAACATAAAATTATCTGGCTTGACTATGATCTACATGGCTCACTGGAGAAGAGTAAATATAAGAGGATACGAATGACGAAAGGAATGTATAAAAATGGTCTTACCTTCCTGTGAGATTAGACTACTGTATGCCCTTTATCTTCTACTCGAACTAATTGAGCTGTGCGGTAATTACAGCAGTAATAAACACAACTAGTCTATTAGTGTGAACAACAAAAACTTAAACTGTAATATTATTTAGAAATTCTAGTTGACTTTAAATCGTTTACATTGAAAAGAAAAACATCCCGTCTGACTGGAAGCCAGGTTATATTCTGATGGCTGCATCGTTTAGAAACCTTTCACACAGTAAAACAGCTCCACTAGACTGGCTGCTATTACTAAATAGCAGAAAGTCCTTAGGGTTCACCTCATTTTTCAATACCCGCATATAATACATGCACCAAATAAGCCCCCAGTGCGACATAAGGAAGCCCCCTCCTTTGCATTAAACAGTACTTTCTTTCATAGACTCAACTCACCATTGGTCTATCTGGGTATCAGACATTTTCCCATAATGCCAAGTGGCTTAAGGACCAGATCCAGAGGGCTGCAGCCAGATGTCACCCAAACAGAGGGGCACTGGGTCCCAGAACACAGAGACCCAGACACTGTACAACTGATATAACTGATGGGGGCGAACACTGGAGTCAGGCTTAAATGTGTTTTTTTTTTTTTCCCTTCCTCGTCTTCAGTCCACCTGCTAATTACAAACTGCAAAGGACACAAGTGCTGGGCTTCCCTTTAGACGAAAACAAAAGGACTTCCTATAGACTATAAATGGGAACTGCACTGCCAAGCCTTGTTTGAGAAGTTTGTTGAGTTTCAGAGAAATGCATACAAAATGAACCACTTTGGGAGGCACATACATGCTTAGTTTTCCAAGTTTGTCTATTTCAAATGTGCAATTTCAATGTAATGGGCAGATCATCCATTTACATTCGTTCACAAATTTAAAATCATTGAGGGAACATTTTCACTATTCTGTGCTCTCATTCCAGGAGAACCAGAAATGATTCACTTGTCTTCATAATATTCACAATTCACAGCATATATACATTATATACACTCAAAACCGGCAGACATGTAAACACTATGAGCTCACCTCCAGTTTACTGTTCACCTTTTTACTGTTACTGTTTCAAACAGCAGCATCTTTCTGTCCATTCTCACTGTAGAAGTTTTAAGACAGATCAGGAAGCACTATGTGAGCTTACCTGCCATCTGTCCATGGGCCACAGGAAGAAGGAAAAGGCCAAATATCATTTTACTTCAGACATTACAACCTCCTGTCTCACTGGATACAAGCATTTAATAAGTAAACCTTTAAAAACAATTGCTTTACTAATTGGAAATAAACAAAACACACTGGATATTACAGTGACACTCGTAACTTTAGTAATATTTCTTTACACATGTATTGATTTTCCACACAACCCATGCAATGTTGAAAACCATTGGAATACATGCACTTCAAAAGGCAGATTCCACCAATTTTTCTGTATAAATAAATCATTAGGATGTAAACAGTGATTGAGAGTGGTTTGACCTACTGAGTCAGAATTGTTTCCACTGGCGGTGATAGGAACCAGATGTCTGAAGAGCTTAATGCCTCTTATAGCTACCTCACAGAAAGCTATTGATATGAAATTAAATGAAATGGTTATGAATACGCTGCCTGATGCCTGAGACAATGTTTTATGATAGTTTTGTGCTAAAAGGTTTTAGCCTAAAACATATATATTTTTAATCATTTCATGGCAGAGAGGAACACTGCAGGCTGAGCTGAAAATGGATCCCAGAGGAAGCTTATTTTTTCCAGATTTACCACAATTTTACCATCATCATCATCACCATCATCATCATCACCACGATCGCCTCAAAAGGTCATTTCGGTTAGTGAATAAAGTGGCTGTATGTATCATAGACATCATGACCCCTGGTTCCCATCACTACCACTGTAAAGTATCCACAGTCTCTACAATGAACCATTTCACATCAAACTACTTGGACAATTGAATTATGCAGAATAAGTATGTGGAATGCATCGTGAAAAAAAAAAAATTAAAAAGAAAAACATCAGTATTTTTATTAACCTTAGCTTGAGTTGAGTTCTGTACTTCAGCCCAATGTGCTGATCTTCTTCTATTCTTTTAGATTCAAGTAGATGTCCCCTAGTTGAATGCTTGGATGGTCCAGGGAAATGGACAGAGTGTACTGCACAGAAAATTGTCATTCAAGGACTGAGGCATGTACAGTCAACAGTCTTCTTTATTTGATTTAGAAAAGGCCTGTAGACAACACTCAAGGACAAGCAAACGTATTCACGACAGACCCAGGCAGAAAATTTGTGCCCAGCAAATCAAATCTATTTGTTCGCACAGCCAGTTCATTCCAACAAAATTAACACCCACAAAGGCCTCAGATCACAAACACTGTAGAGTGTCTCACTATGAGGAATCAACTCACATGAGCGATTCACGTTCACAGTCAAGAAGCTCAAGCATTAAAACAGACACACTGCGTTTACATTACTAGGCTTCAGTAAGGCTTCAGACATTCTGCATTAACTGGTGACAGACAGATGCTGGAGTCTGGGGCACAAAGGGGTAGAGAGGAGTGGACGAATGGCTTAGGCACTTAGACATATTCAAATTAACATAAGCCACCAAATCAAGATACAAAAATGAATACGTGAATTATTTAAGAGAGTAAGGACAGCCCTTGAAGTGCACCAGATGAAGTTTAATAGGGAATTTCTATAATCTTCTATCTTTCTACTTATTCAAAATAAAAGGCGTGGAGCGGCTCTGGTGAGCAAAGATAATTGACCTGTGCTTGACACTGGAAGCAGTTTTTCCACTTAAAAATTTTCTTCAGAAGAATTTGCCTCACATAAGTAATCTTACAGGTTAAAACAGAAAGGTTCAACAAAAAAAGAAATACATCCCTGTTCACAGTTTCCATTAGACCAGTTGTGTCTCTACTGCTGATTGAAGTGATGGATGTCTTCAACGCTCCTTTAGCTGCTGAGCCACATTTGTGGTCAACAGTGACCCCTACTGAACTGAAGAGGAATTTGGTAATTCACAGTAAGTCCAGGCGCCCCCTGGTGGGCATGACAAAACATGAAACAAAAAAAAAAAAAGAACAAAAGAAAAACCAGGCAGCATAAACTGAAAGCTTAGTAACAAGCATACAAGCAAATAACAGTACATTTGTTCTTTGCTTGGTTCAGAATAGACAAGTATTCAACCATATTATGGAATTAAAAAGAGGACAAAATTGGATTATTGCCTCGCACACGCACACTGAAAACACACACTTTTAATTCCATTGTCATCAAAAAACAATAACTATTGTCATAACCTTCTGCAGGTTTTCCAAAATATGTGGACAGATGAAGAGAAAGCAGAGTGACACTAAACGGTCCTGACTGGGTTCTAGATTGTTGGGCGGATTCCAGAATATGGACTATTCGAGCCCCACCTCCTACCTCCTATTACAGATATGCTGAACTGATAAATGTCTGAGAGGTTTAGCTCATGCGTTTAGTCGAATCCTTGCCAATCACTTTGCTCCGAGTCATACTCGAGTTCAGCTCCAATGCACCGCACCCCCTCTAATAACATCGGCGTCCCATGGTGTCGGTCTGAGAGAGAGAGAAACAGATTGCAGGTTATTGCTGATTCTGTAGTGATAAAACCATCTTAGGGCTTTGCTTCAGGTGTACGTTTCCTCTGCAGTTCTCAAATATGATCTTAAGCCCATGAGAGGCCTCTCAGAATGTTCAGTCAAACTGGTGTATTACTTAGAAAACAATGGAAACGCCTGAATAAAAGAAAGATAGAATGATGTTTTCTCTGAAGTGATTATTGTACCATTCTGCTTAGTGTCATACATAGAACTCCTATATTAAAAACATTATGACCTGGCGGTAGGAACAGTCTCTTCCAGGCCTGCAAAGACTCCTATATACCCAAAATATGCGATGTTACTCATCTCTTTGCAGAACATGAAAATAATGAAAACCACATGCTGTTGCCCATTCAGACTGTGGTCTGCAGTGTCAGTCCAGCTGGAGACAACAGGGAGGATTCACAGAAGAATCCAAAGTAACTGAGACTGTTTATCATCATCACTGACAAAGTAACCAAAAAAAAGAATGTCTTGTTTTAAAATGTTTAAACATTTATATTACACTTATGAATGTATGTGCACAAGTACTTTCATGTATTTATTTTCCAGTGAAACGGTCAGGAAAAAAGCAGAAAACACACACTTAACAGGAAATTAAGCCTAAAAAACTATATATATATCAGATTTTTCATATCATGTCCACTCTTTGCCTTTATTACAGCTTCCACTCTTTTCAGGAGACTCGCCCTCAGTTTTCCAAAGAAATCTGCAGAGATATTTTTCCACACCTCTAAAGTTGAGTGTTAGAAGTTACATTTTCTGCTTCTCATGATCCAAACAATGCCGCAGCCCTTTCTGGACTAAGTGGTTAATGATGACAAATGAATGAATGAATGATCCAAACAATCCCAAACACATTCAGAGATGTTGAGGTCTGGGCTCTGGGGTGGTCAGTCAATTGTTCTGAGAACACCAGCAGCTTCTTTAATGGACCTACAAATGTCCTTTTTTTGTCTATTTCCTTTTCTTAGTAACAGCTTCTTTACAGCTACACGTCATAGTGTTGAGTCTTCTTCTCACAGTGGAAGGATGAACAGAAACACCTGAGGATTTTTTCAGATCTAAAACAAGAGCAAGCTTGATTTTCTCCTCTCTTTCAAAGATGAAAGCTTTAAGTGCTGTTTATCTGATGGTGACAGTTTTGGTGGTCTACCAGGTTTTGCACAGCTGTCTGGAGTCTCATTTTCTCTGTATCTTTTAATCATTACCAATTTTGAAAACTCTTGTTTTTTTAACTAGTTTTCCTTTAACTTAACCTTCCTAATGCAATCTAATATCTTCAGAAATATCTCATGAAAAATAAATAACTATTACTTAATGGCTGTTTTAACCAGAAATTAAATTAATGTCTTGTTTATATGCTTCTCAACAATCATCCATCCTTAAGGTGGATTTCAGAAAATATGACCTGTCATATTCAACCAAAATGACTCAAAATTAGAATACACTTGAAATAAAATCATGATACACTAATGTTCATAAAAGTGTCATAAAACATTTTCTCTGCTCCTGTAAAAAAATACCATTTTTGGAGGTTTTACTACAACAGCAACAATGTTGGATGAAGACAGATCAGGCTGCACTTCAAGTATCAGCAGTGGGGCATCTGTATTAACAGCAGTGCATCAGCACAGACAACTCTCAACAACACTCAAGAAGCACAGGGGAAGTCTGCAGTCCAAAGCCATGTGATTAAACTTAAACGGTACAAAGTTTCTGATGATTTTTATCCATATAGAAGAAAGATGCATAAGCAGCATCTATTTCATGTATTCACATTTTGTAATTCAGTTTATTTAAATATCTATCACATGCTCTCAATAGCAGTTCTACATGATTCTTTTTAGTTAGATTTCACTATTCAAATTCAAAATCGGATGTATTTTCTCTTTAATGACACTGTCCATCTTGCTAAACCTTTTTTAAGCAGAGATGAGTAGTAACTAGTTACATTTACTCAGTCACATGTACTAAAATGTAAGTAGCATTTCAAGGTAAATGTTCTTGGATTTGTACTTTACTGAGCATTTTAAAATGATAACTGAGGCTTAAGCTTTATTATTTATTTTGTACCAATAGTGCATTAAGAAAGACTAGTGTCTAACAATCTTTGGTTCCTATTCATATAAATGTTCAATAAGTTCAGTTCTGTAAGTTACTCAGTATTTAAGTAGTTTTTTGACCTGGCATTTCTGTAATTCTACTCAAGTTGCTTTTGGAAATATATTTTTACTGTTACTGGTGTCATTTTACAAATAGTAACAGTACAAAACAGTAAGTAAGTAAGTGAGTGAGTAAATAAATAAACAAAAGGTCAAATTAACATTTTAACTGGAGTAAGAGTAAGAGCTACTCTACATACACTGTTTTTAGTTCTGCTGATGACTGATTTTTATCCATTGCCTTGTTAAAATGTTATCTGTTCTTTCAATGCACCATGAACTGTTATTATTATTATTATTATTATTATTATTATTATTATTATTATTATCATCATCATCATTATTTTTTATTATTATTACTATTCATTCCAGATTTTCCACATGTAATTGAAAAGCTGGCCAACAGGGGGGAGCAAAAAACAACTATATAAATTCTGACAGTTGACATCTTCATCCGAACTCCTTGCGCATTTTCCATATTTCTGCTGGAGATCACAGAAACAAAAGCTGCAATAAGTATAGAACACTCTGAAGTAACTTCATAGTACAGCTAGAATTATCCTGTCCCTGAAGATGAGGAAAACAAAATCAGGATAGTAAATAAATTTGCCCAAAGTTGCACTAAAAATTAGGTACTTTTTTTTGAGGTTGCATTAAACTGAGCGTTCACATCCAGATTTGGCACCTTGTGCTGTGTCACCTTTTTGTCCATCTGTGTCAAAGTTGTCACTGACTCTTCAAACTGACCTCAAGTTGCTGTTGTACTTATACTTCTGAGCTCCCAGAGAGACAGGAACTCAAATATGTTATCTGGGGACACATTCTTGGTAATTAACAGACAAAAGTTACCTTCTGAGAGGCTGGCTGTGCTACAGAAACCTCAAACTTACCCATAACACGGGCATGAACTTTGACCTTCAGGCACACATCCTCTTTGCTCTCGCTGACTATCAGCATCTCTTCACAGAGCACCCCCTCCTGGTGAGCCATGTACTCGCATGTCACCTTTAGCCCCCCTACAGAGAGAGGTGGGAGAGAGTTAATGCAACATGAGGACGACATGAGGGAGAAAATATGGCTGTGAGAGGTACAGTATGTGACATTTGAGAGTACAAAGAGGAATTAGTGGGAATACAAAGAGGGCTGGGTGGGATAAAGGACAGGGAGGGTAGGTATATATCCCATGTGGAAAAATCTAAACCTCTGTATTCAATTGTCCTCAAAATTTCACAATACGTTTGTCTCTCCTCCAGTATACCTCCAGCCCCCAGTATACTGCACTGCATCATGTTAGTCTATATTATATTACATTCCATTCTTTTCCCTCCCACAGCAAAAGGCCATGTGTACCAAACCCCAGAGTAAGATCAGTTTTTTCACATTTTCAGCTGGACATTAGTATTAGAAATGGGAATTTAGGAACTACTGGCCAAGATAAAAACAACCTCCTTTGGTTATACTTTGGAACGACATGCATTCGAGTTTGTCCAGATGGTCTTCACAATGAAAAGCTCCTTGTCTGATATTTCATAACAACACATCCTACGATTTGTTCAGATGTTTTTCACACTGTGAGAGATGAACCTCAGGGCAGTTGGTGTCACCGAGCAGTCAGACATCACCCTGCATGGAAAAAAACCTCCCACAGGGTTAAACTCATGAATTCAGCTGGCTGCTGCTCCCTTGCAACCATTATAAACAATAAATTCACACGCACGCAGAGCCCCACGCGCACAGCCATACGAAGCGGTGTAATGGAAAATGCCTGAAGCCTGCCAGCTCCCTTGCTAATGTTCCCTAAAACTCGTTCTGAGCCTCAGCCACAGTAAACAGTAGCCTCGCAAATGCACCATAAATGGTTTATTGAATTTAATGGCCCGCAATGAAGAGCATTTGTGCATCTACTTGCTATTGTTTTGTTGCTCATTTGAAACGCTTGGCTTGAATTAACTGAAGGTCAGCCAGCCGAGAGAGCTGTTGATAGATCCTGAAGTGAGCACTGCTCTGCCCGTTACTTGATGACAAATTCTTCCATGCTCAACAGGTGAGCATATGAGTGCTGTACAGGCCCACTATTGTATAAGCCATTCATTAGCACATTCTGTGATAAGTTCTAGTGCGTTCCTCATTACATTTCTGACCTTAAATGTGGGTGGATGTAAATAAACTTAAGTTGTATTCAGAGTGGTTTAATGTGAAACGCTCCAATCCAGAGAAACTTAATAAATCAGAATTATTCACAGTGGTGGTGATGGGAACCAGACATTTGAAGCAACTCTGAAAAGCTACCTCACAGAAAGCTATTACATGAAATGGTTACAAATACACTGGCCAATACCTGAACCACTGTTCTACAATATTCTACAACATTCATGGCAGAGAGGTACATGCACAGTGTCCTAAGTCAAACCAGTCTCAAAAGAAAACATATTTCAGATTTACCACTATTTTACAAATTTGAGACAAGTGTAGGTTCATTAGTCCTTTTGGATAGTAGATGTCTCTGCGTTGTCATCCTCATACCCTGGTTCCTATCACCACCTCAGAAGTCTGAGTTGGTAACTCTCTACAACATACTATTTCATATTAAACCACTCTGAATCACTTTGTTTACATCTCAACAATTGAATTATGCAGAATTTTGGAAAAAATCTGTGTGTCACTGTGAATCAGTAATCATAATGCATTTTCCTTGTGCATCATGATATGTTTCCAAGTGAAACAAAGACATTATTGGTTAATATCATTTTTCAGATTTAATCATTATTTTGATGTAAAATTACAGGAAAAACAACAATTTTGCATTTTTTTATGATACAGCAGATGATAAATCATGCTTAACATGACCAGGGCCATGAACTCACAATGTAAAAAAAAATAAATAAAAAAAAAGGATAGGATAGGACTGGATAGCAATATCTAAATGAGCCATTCCTTGATACAAAGATGAGTCAGTCAGATTGTGCCTGAGTGTACATCAAGAAAAAGATGACACGTATAAAAAGATGTTAAAGAGTGCTGATCTAAAGCTGATTTTTACAATTAAAGGGACGTTGTCAAAGATCAGCAGTCTTGCTTTGAGGTGTTCTCTCAGTCTAACTGAGGTGAAGGTCAAGTACTGAGATGCAACGAACATCCTATCATTTATTCAAGGGCTAAACTGAAATTAAAGCTCATAACATAACAGAATGCCCTGTGTTTCTCTAACCCAAACCACAAAGGCCTGCGTCGTTAGGGACAAAATTCACACTGACAATTTCACACAATTCTGCTCAGTTACAGTTATAACACATCACTGAAATTGAATTATATGCATTAGAAAAGGAACTAAATGAAAAGGGTTATGTATCCAGAAGAATGGAAGCCCTTGGGCTTGGATCACCGTGACAAAACAAGAGGAAGGCAGGGACGTACCGTCAGGGGCCGCTGTAATATCTTTTATCTGGAGGTAAGGGTTGGGCACTGGAGCTGGACACACATCCTTCCCGAGCGCTGGAACCTCCGGCAGTGTAAAGATGATCTCATACCTGTGCTGAGTTTTTAGGAAGCCCACCTGCAGAGAGCACAACAGGAACTGTTTCTGAAAAAAATAGTGGGCCTTTTGATATTTATCACAGAAAAAGGTTCTATTCTGCGAAGTACCGTAATGACAAGAATATCACTGGGCTGCACAATATGTCATTTGCTAATTGTTATCATGATATTAGCTTTCAAAGTGCTAATATCACAGATATGTCTGCAACGTACAAATACATCTGAACTAGAGTGATTCCAACCCTGTTTTCAGAGATCTTCCTTCCTGTGGAGTCCAGGCACAATCTGCCACACCGGCTCCAGCTAATAAGCTTCTTCATAAGTTGGTGTTAGGTAAGATGGGGCAGTACGGTATGGCGTTTTCCACCTATCAGTACAACATTCCTAAACCAGAAACATACAAACCTTCGTCGAGCACCAGCTCACAAAACAGAACCCTGAAATTAGGTGGGGTTCTCTAGAGGCTGATGTTCACATGATGCCAATGACACTTACCAATAAACACAAAAAACAGTAGCAACAATGGGGACATTTCTGATTGACCTTACTGTGCATTTAGTTTTATGAGAGAGTCACAGACAGCAATTTTGGCTAGTTTGCTAGTATTTTTAGAAATGGCTGCCATCTGACTTGACTGACAGCGCATGGTGATTTGGTGATGACTATGTTTGACCAATCAATGGTCTGCACTCGGGATTAGAATGGGCCGGAACCCGGCTGGGACGCAACAGGCTTCTGGCTCAGATTTTGAAAAAAATATCAGTGACTACTCTCACATTTTTCTAAAGTGTGTGCATGAAACAAAGTGTCTGATGAATGCACCTCAAGTTCAGCCTACTGCCTGTTCAGCCAATGTAAAGTCACACTGTAGCAGGGTCTGCCCACTCAGTCTCCATGGTAACACAAGGCAATGCACACAGTGTGTTTAGAATGTGAAAGTTGCCAAAACACTAATCTGCAGTGTCGTTTCACTTTCTAATTTCCTTGAACCTTGGCAGCATTCACTTGGATAACAAGTCTACTCGATATTTTGGGCTATTCATGTTTTTTAATAGAACATTTCCATCATTCTCCCCGTCACCACTATTTTTAACTCTACCAATACATCTTGCATTGGTGCACTTATTACCCCAACAGGAATAATAATAAATACAGCACAGGTACTCTGGCAGGGGGACCGACTAGGATTTTGGGCACCATGAAAAGATATCATATTGGGCCCAACACAGTGTGTGGCCACTAACTAAAGTAGTCACCAACTTTATTATCTTAGGAGTGTGGGGATGGGGAGGCAGGGCTGGTTCATTGGTAAGGGTGTGGGGATGGGGAGGCAGGGCTGGTTCATTGGTAAGGGTGTGGGGATGGGGAGGCAGGGCTGGTTCATTGGTAAGGGTGTGGGTATGGGGATGCAAGGCTGGTTCATTGGCAGGGGTGTGGGGATGGGAAGACAGGGCTGGTTCATTGGTAAGGGCGTGGGAATGGGAAGGCAGGGCTGGTTCATTGGTAAGGGTATGGGGAGGGGGAGACAGAGTTGCTGAGCCTGAAGCCACATCTGTTGGGCCTGGCACCAGGCAGAGGCAGGGATAAATGATGTAGTATAAATTGCTTGCTAAAAGTTGCATGCATTGATTAAATGTCAGCTAAAAAGGAGCACAATGTAAACACTCAGAAATGTTTGTGAAGACATTAAGTAAATTATGTCAGGGGAGAGAAAAGTAGCTTATTTCAGTATGGACAGTATGGGGGTGTGCATATAGAGGCTGTCTGGATTTTACTTATTGGAAAAAACAAGAAAAGAAAAAGAAACCTTTAGAAACCATTTTGCATTTAATGACCGCAACACATTGAAAAAAAGTTGGGACAGGGGCCTGTTTAGCACTGTGTTTCATCACATCTTCTTTTAACAGCACTCTGTAAGCGTTTGCGAACTGAGAAGACTGACTGCTGTAGTTTTGAAAGTTAAATGTTTTCCTATTCTTGCTTGATGTAGGATTTCAGCTGCTCAGCAGTTCAGGGTCTCCTTTGTCGTATTTTTCATTCATAATGCGCCAAATGTTTTCATTGGGTGATAGGTCTGGACTACAGACAGGCCAGTTTTAGACACTTTTACTACAGAGTAGTAAAAACCTGTATATCTCGGTCAACATTAATGGTGCCTTCACAGATGTGACAGAGGTCCTAAAAAGTACTATAACATTAGGTTATTAATCATTTAAACTCTTTATTTAATTGAAAATAGCACAACAACAACAACAAACTAAATGTAGAAATGGAGAACTTTCGTGTTTTAAAAAATACATGCCTATTTTGAATTTTATGCACTGCATTAAAAACAGACATGATTCTGTAGTGGAAATCAGTGCATGGGCTCAGGAACACTTCAGAAAACCACTCTCTGTGAAAACAGTTTGTTGCTGCATCCACAAATACGTGACCATGGTTCTGTAACAGTACAGGACCATGGTACCAAGGAAAAACACCATAAGATGCAGAACTGGAACTCAACTCGGCAGGAAAATAGATCTCCAGGAGGAGGGTTGGTGACCACTGCTGTGACATTGAAAGTTCCATAGTGTGCTAAGAGCATCCTGTCCAATTCCGGAAATGTTTGCATGTCTGGATGACTCTCTTGTTTTGTTCAAAATCACACAAGCCAATCTTTAACCATGGCACATGGTTATCAGGGTTCACGAATGCCTTTTTTTGTATATTACAAGGCATGTTACTCCACAGTAATGATGTAATGTAGAATTTAATCACAACACTAGTATTTTGTCCATGCAGCCCAAGAATCTATAGGGGTAAAAAGAGAAAGAGGGTGGGGTTTGTGAGTCATGACTCATTTGGATATTGAGCACAAACAAATTCCAGAGCGATTCCAAAGTCTCTACAGCAACAGGCGGGTGCAGTCGGCACAAGTTTTGGGCATTATGTCAAGCAGCTGATCAGAGTAAATGGGAGTATGCTTGTGTGTCACCCATGAGGCAGCCACAATCAAAGAAACAACAGAATACCAGTGTGTATGTGAGTGTAATATCAAGTGGGATGTTTCCATGAGAGGACACAGTCTAGTCTGTGTGATATTGGAATGAAACCCAAATTCTAATGCTCAAAAGATGTTTACTCTCTCTGAACAAAACACACTTCAGACTGTGTGTGGAGTTCATCTCAGCCTTTGACTGACATCTACTCTCACTCCCCAGTGTCCAAAAAACTACAAAGCACTCATTCAGTAACACATTAAAAAACTGGCGAGTGTGCCGTGTTGTTGCCAAACACCATATAAGAAAGAACATCACGGAAAGAAAAAGACAGAGACCATGCACAAATCTGACACTGTTAGAGGCAAATACTGTTTACATTTTACACCTAGGTAAATTCAATTCCTAGGTAACACTATTTACATAAGCAAATGCGTTACTTACCTGGATAAATAAAACTTTAGGTATTTTGGCAGCATTCATAAAGCTAGTACCTACATAAGCCTTTCATGGCAACTGACACACAATTATGTAAACACTTATACAGGCCTATTTCGACAAGCATCAGTTATCATAAAGGCTGTGTTTGTCAACTTTAATGTGGTTTTTTGTAAAACTAAGTTTTAAAATTAGCTGCTCTTAATTAAAGCACATCATCTAACGTGCATATATAAAGTAGACTCTCACATTCAAACTACTTTCAAACACTTTATTCATTCGTATAAGTTCGGTCTTGTCTCCCTTTCTGGGCTCAGAAATTGTTCTCGAGAGTAGCCAAGGTCAATCCCTCTGTGTGAGAGCAACCTTTGTCTTCAGAGGTTAAAATGCAAAGTTGGACTACAATACTGCCAATATAATTGCCTAATTTTAGGCTACATATTATTTAATATTATACTCTACAGAATACATTATAAAATGTAATATTTAATATAGATCATGTATAATGAGTGGTAATGAGTACGATGAACTACACATTAACTTCATTTTTTCCTTTTTTGCTTCTTATTTTTAAATGCTAAAAAATCTTAATCTGGTTTCGGTCTCGGACTCGATGCGTCAGGGTCTCTTTCTTGACTCAGACTCTCCTCTAGTCTTTATTAAAACACTTGCACCAGATTTTTGATACAGCATCCAGCGCTACTCTTAACCACAGCATGGACACCTGGATGTCAGATTGTGCAGGCCTGAGGTAGCAGAGTGAGTTAATAAGAGGCATTGAATAAACAGACACGGGTCTGCAGAGATAATGGGTTTAGACTCTGAAAAGGATCTGGCAACCTTGCTCCTGGCCTTCAGAGCAAATGGAGGAGCTTAGAGGAGATAAGAGGGGTTTTGCTCTGGCAGTGAGCTAGCCTCTGGTCTCAAAAAGGTAGTGGTGTGTATGTGTGTGCTCCTCCCTGGATCAGAGCTGCATACCAGCCTGTCCCAATGGGCTTAATTTAACCAATCCATTATAATAATTCACAAAACAGCATAATGATCATCAACTCCTCTCCTAATTTACATTAATCTGAAAGGGGAAAAGGTGCATTTATAAGATGATCTTCATTATAATGGGAGTTTCAATTATTGGCCTTAAACTTGCACTGCAGTAAACTGGCATTAGCCATTTTCAGCACTGTATATTTGTCAACTGATTTTTTAAAAACACACAGAAATTCACCATATTATGTGGCAGTGATGCTACCAGCTGCATTCAAAACCTACATATAGCGACTACTATATCAAAAAATATGCTACATTCCTTGACATATGTGTAATCAATTGCATTACATGTGATGCTGGAAGTGATCTCCGTTTTCTGCCAGAGACATGAAGGGGTACAGGGGTCTGCACCCGGAAGTTGCAAACGGAGGTTAAACGTCGCGACGGCTGTTCAGCGCATACCTCATCGCTCCGAAGCAGGGGCATCCCAGCTTGTTCAAAGCTCCATATACTGAGGAGCACATTGCACGTTGTTTCGTTCAGACTGCTTCCTCCTAGCGAGAGTTATTACAGAATATTCGGGGGAATATTCTTTCAAGTGAATCTCCCTGTATTTTAAAGGCTTATTAGGAACCACTTAAACAGTGCAATTGCCACTCCAGGCATTGTCTCACAAAGCCGCATGGAATCTCATTATGAGAACACACGTCTCAGGACTACTTGTTAAACTTTTGATGCTACAATACGCCACTAAGGGTGTGCTCCATTTAAAACCTGCCCCCTTTTGTAAGACTCTTAATACTGGAGCAGTAATAGCTGGCCCGCTGATTGCAGCTATTCCTGATTGAAATGAACAGCTCGACCAAAACATGCTAACATGAGCAACAATCAGTGGAATCTAGTAACCAACAATTAGTTTCATGTCACTTGCATAATGCTAATTGGAGGAGTTCAATGAGCCGAGTATGAAAATAATGTAAACCATATGCCACTGCCCTCCGACATGCCAACTTTCAGCCCAACAACAAGGCAGACTCTTGAGCAGCTGCCAACAGAGTGCTTCCTACCATCAACACTACAGTGAATAATGGAATTTCTCTTGGCATTGATTCCAGCCCTAAAAAGTCCACAGCATTCCTGACACCATTCCTCAAGTCATTCCAGCATTTTGGATGATGTTGATGGTATTTAGAAACATGACTTTAGTGGATGCTTTGGATTCTTCTGCTAGTCTCCCATGTTTTCTTCAGTTGGGTTGAGATCAAGGCACATATTTATCAGATTAATGATGCTTATTTTTCGTATAATGTTGAATGGAATTATATGAACTAATAAGATATAGACTTAGATCAGCACTTCCAATCAAAGATGAATAATAAAAACATGCTCTTGCCTCTGATCAAGCAGTGGCTTACAGTTCACACTGTTTTCATGCTCACTCACAATTACAATGGTGGTTCTCTGAAGAGGCCACTGCCATCCTAACGGAGACCTCTCCCCTCACTTTACACATGCTTTACATTAGAGGGCTCCAGTTCATTTCCTGGAGATCTAGCTTCCTACAGAGTTCACTTTCAAGCCTGCACAGCATCTCCATGTTTTTCCAGAGGGCCTCTACCAGCAACTCAATTATAAGTTGGAAATATTTCCAGGAGGAGGGTCGGGGACCACAGGTTTGAAATATACACAAAATATACGTGAAGTAAGCAGGATGGTATCATGCTAGGGTTCCCAATCCCAGACACATTTTTGTGTTTTCCCTACTCCAACGCTGACCCATGAGGACACACAAGAAGCTTGTCAATTGGTTCATGGGTTGAATCAGGTGTGCTAGATGAGGGAAAATGGAGTGCCATAACTGGTACTGGAAATCTTTGTTATAAAAGGACCTTAAACCCCAGAATCAGGACCTGTCTTCATTATAATTGAACACATAGACAAGATATATATGGACCATTCAACCACTTAAACTGTAGTCCCACAATACAATAAACACCATCAGGTATTTAGAACTTACATATTTCCAAGGATTATGTTATGATCTATTCAAACCCAAGGCATTAACAGAGATAGTAATAAGCTAAATATATACAAAATTAACATTTATAGTATACTTTCTATTGTGGAGTGTGTGTTCTAAACCCTAACCACTAAATCTAAATTTGTGAAAATATATTTTTTTAAAGATCTCTTTGATTTCTTTGTTGAAATATTTAGATTCATCATGATTTTATGTTTTAAATACAAAAACATTATTCAAGAAATGCCGTCCTACGATTTCATGTCACTATCGAGACACAAACGTGTTTTAGTCCATAGGTGGAGCCTTATTTTAACCACACCCCTGCATTTTAGAGCAGGGAGTGAGACTGCATCCCTGTCCCTCATGGCCACATGGTGAGCAGTTAGATCCCATTGTTATGAAGTAAATCCCAAAGTCTGAAAATCAGTGTTTAACATTAGGAATATATACCACCAAAACACATTTTCTGCAGTTATGTAAACTTCATGTTTTGATAAAAAAAAATATTATGATTTCATGTGTTTTAACCATTCAAGGCTGTGTTTGCTAGTCATGTACTGGCTAGCATTTTTGAGTTATGCTCAAAACTAGCTAAAATTATCATTACCAAAAAACATTTGGAAAAGTTTTAGTAGTATTACGATTGTTTCATTAATGACAAAATGAAACGTTTGATCATTCGTTTTCATAAAATGAACATGATCAATGAATAGTTTCACTCAAAGCAAAAGAATTTTAGTCTGAAGTCCAAATCAGTTAAAAGTCTGAAATGTGTCTACAGCTTTGACAGTTCTATGGAATGATCCACTTAACACACACATAATACCCCTTTTTATTGACTACAAAGGTCTAAATATAAGTCACAGTTTGCATTTGCCTACAGAAAATGATCTCTTAACAATCAGAGAAATCATCTAGTGGAGCTTTCAGCATGAAGTGACCCAAACTCACCTTAACTAGGAAGTTCCCATCTGACTCAGGAATCACCATGACAACAGAGTCGTGCAGTTTCTCGTCGAAGTGCACATGAGAGTGAGCGGTGGCAGCAGCGGCGGCGGCGGCAGTGTTCTCCTCAGCAAAGCGAACGCCCCCCGCTTTAGAGGAAGCTGCAGATTCATTAAGACAAAGAGAATTATTAACACACGCACAGAATCCCACCTGCAGGAGAGACCAGAGCCTTTCTTCACTCTCCCTATACAAACTGATGAGAGTGTAAGGATTCTAAAACACTAAAGAAAAACCAGAAAAAATGTTGTCGTCTTACGTAAAAATCATAAAACATGAAAAATTTTGAACTTTTTTTTTGTTAATTGTTTCTGTCAGAATCTGTGTACATTTTGTACATACAGTTGTATGAAAAGTTTGGGCGTCCCAGGTCAGATTATGTGTCTGGGTGATTTAAGTGAACTTAACACATTCTCTACAGAGAAGGCGCCTGTACATTATTTTATTTCATTCATTTTATTTGCAGAAGTCAACATATCGGGAAAAAACAAAACATAAAAAGTTCTGGCTCATTTTATATTGCATGTTTTATTTTCTTCCAATATGCTCAACTCAGCAAATTAACAGAAATTGTAGAAAATGCCATAAAGTGTGTTCTCTGTAGAGCACGTTAACATTTCACTTAGAACATCAACAAAACATGTAATTAGACCAGAGGTGTTCAAACTTTTGCATACTAATGTATATTTAAAGAGGCTTTTGTGACATGTTGATGTTGACATTTCAGCTTTTGTGGGGGGTGAAATTGAAGCCACGCTATTATAGGTTCTATATGAGGCAGTTTTGTTTAAGCTTTTGTATTGGTTATAGCTCAGCTGCTCTGTTTTTAAAATCATACACAGCCTTTTTTCTCACTTTCTTTTTTTTCCTCACATAGTATGTCTCCAAACGTTCTTAAAAATAGGCTGTGTGTAGGCAGTGCTCTCATTATAAAAACTCCAAAGCACTTTCTAAAAAGCTGAATGGAATGTTCACCAAGTCAGTGAGGAGCCTTTTATAGGATAATTACTCAAATCTAACCTGACACTCTGAAAAGATCTGGCTGCAAACCCCCAGAGGAAAAAAAAAAAAAGAGCGAAGTCCATTATGAAATATTCTTGTCATCTCTTTAGAATTTTTCTAAAGATGTGCAACAGTCCAGAGAATGAAAGGGTTTAAGGAGGGATTATCTCAGCACTTACCAATTTCATCAGTCTCCAGTAATAAACAGACAGAGCTTTACTGTAATCATACTGTAAATGTGGATGTTAAGACAGGATGAGTCCTGAGACCAACACAAGTTTTGTTGCATTTATGTTTATTTGTATTATTTCTAACATTATATAGTGTCTTCATCTGCAAATCAACACTTGCTGCCAAGATACATTTTTTACAATGGTTGTAAAATATATTCTTGGTTGCCTAAGACTTTTGTACAGCACTATATATGCACACACATACAACCATATAGTATATTAAAATTTGTTTGGGCTATTCTAAAGGGTACAATTACAAAACATGAAAAATGATTACAGTATCACACTGGTAAAATTCAGAGAGTAGAAAAGATTCTGTTGTAACAATACAGTCATTTTTTCTTATTTTTTAAGCCCCCTGCCCTATTCCCACCAATGCACAATTTAGTCATCTGCAGTTCCCAGTCCTTGTACGTCTGTCTTCCTATCTCATGACTATACCACCAGTTTACTTTAGATTCATTTCTGCTCAATATTTACATTTGACTTCTAATGCTGGCCTTTTCCCATCCAGAGAGCTATTTCTAGTTCCAGTCCATCAGTGTTTGCTTTTTCATCTTATAATGGTCATGAGTTTGTGAGCACATCATCAGAATGTACCAACCTCAAAGCATCACTGCAGCTAGACAGAAAACTAAACATGAGGCAGTGATGCCCTTTTTTGAGCACCACAACGTGTCTTACAATGACTCATTAGGTATGAGAATAGCTGGAACTGTGCTCTGCCCTGCAATCAATAATAGCTCTGAGGAAGCTGGGAGATTACTCAGGAATTTTTACTTAAAGAGGATTTTTTTTAAATTCTAAACTACAAGAAAACAATGCCTCAGGCACCAGACAGCGCATTCATAACCATTAAATACATTTCTGTAAAGGAACTTTTAGAGGCATTAAAAACACTGGGGACGTTTGGTTCCCATCACCATCACTGTAAACAATTCTGACTCAGTGAGGGTTCCCACAATGTACATTTTATATCAAATCACTCTGAATGACTTTGTTTACATTTTAACAATTGCATTATGGAGAAAATGTTAAAAAAAAATTAAAAATTGGAGGAATTCTCCTTAAATATCAATTACACAAAAATTCAAACTACAACTTTAAAAAGAAAGAAAAGAATCAGAGGAAAACGCAAACTGTGGACACACCTCGCTCCTTTAAATAAGCCACCTAATCAATGGCCTCACTTGATGATAATGCAGTTGTAGGGTTGGCCTAAATAATTGATTACTCAAGTATTAATTCATTACATTAGTATTGCTGTTGGAGCAGTCTTTCCTCATGTCCAATGAAATTAAGAGAGTAAAAATGCGGAAAAAAGTACAACAATAAGAAAAACGTTCCATGCAAAATTTGCAATAAGAGGCTGGTAGATTATTGAAGTATGAGAAGTTTAAATAATTTCAAATATGTCTGAGCACCACTGATCTCAGGCCTTTAAAGGTATTCTCTTTAAATGCCTCACACCACAGCAGATTTCAAGTCATTTGCACCATCATCGGTATATGTTATGTTAATACACTGCTGCAGCCTATTACATCTTTACAACAGTAACAAACAGACTTACAATTCTGGTAAGTTATGAAATGTGAATATTATTGTTTTAAAGGTGGAGAACGAATATACAGGTACTTGTCAGGAAATACCAACAAGTATTTAAAGCTTGTAAAATGCTGTTCAGGTCAGCCCTAAATTGCATCACAAAATGTCTGGGAGTAAAATTAGACACCAGTTCTAATTAGGGCTACTTTTCTAATCTTGTGGAGTCAAATAAAGACAGAGTGATCATCCGCAGATAGAAAACGCCTTAAGTAGGTAACACAGAGGATCCTTCATTCCTTCTCTCAGTACAGAAAAGAAACAGGTAAGTCATCCTGGTGTTATTGTTGAAGAGGTGACTTTAAGAAGCTCTTGGTAGGTTGACAACACAAACAAGGGTGTGCAACAAGGGCACACTACTATACTACATACTGCACACTGCACTAGTATATACTGTACACTGCATGCTACTCTTTATAGTAGTATACAGTATAGTATCCAGTATATGACGAGATCCGTGTGCCATACTACAGGCAAGGGGTGCAATTAGACTGCCAACATCGAGGATTGAGCCAATCAGACCATCTCCAAACCTGCCCTATTTGCCTCAGCCCTCCAATCACAGCTTAGCAACCGCTGAGAGCCACTTTTAAGCTCTTTTTCAGGTCAGGTCTTTAGCAACACGTGTGGATAAATTTTGGTCAAGAGACGTGCCTGCTGAGTTTTGAAAGACACCGTGACAAATGGATTTTGTTTTCTACTCATCTGCAAAGCCTCAAATAAACTTTAAAAATGTCAGCTTTGGGTTTGTCTCCAGTAAACCTGTGTGGTTTCCAAACATACCTGTTTTCCTCCATCTGCAAGTCATTTAATTAATATTACATTCATAGTTGGTAATATGAGCTAGTTTGACCACAATAAGCAGTGTGATTCCACACGGGAACCTGAAAATCCGATGCTGAGCGGACTGTCTGGATGAGACCAACTTTGTTCAGATACTGTTTTTGCCACGTAATCTGTGCTGTACATTAAATGTATTAAATAGACAAACCCACCTTAACATCAGCAGAGAAAGCAGCAGTAGGACAAATCGATTAATTTCATTTATGTATCCATAAAGGACTGAAACCAGGGCTATTTAACTGTTCGAAGCAAACCAGGCGGTTATGTCAGTGGTTATGTCCTCCTTAAATAGCTGCGTGGCATTTTGGGATGCAGTATATCATGGACATTGTTCTGGCCGTGTATGGAAATATTTTGCATACTCAGGAAATTCATTTTGGTCACAAACTACATATTACTTACTCTTTTTGGGCACAATAAGTATGCAAGCAGTACATAGAAGGCTACTTTGAACACAGGCAAGATGTGATGTACAAGCACCCCAAAATATCCCTAACTACACAGCCCTTTCCGTGGTATTCTGTTGATATTGTCTCAATGTTAAAAATAAGAATGATTTACAAATAATAAAACATTGTAGCCAGTCTATTGTTTCACCTGCTTCCACAGTCTACATACTTTTCCATTCCCATATAAAAGGTACTGTTACTTAAGTAATATGACTTTAATTGTAAGTTCATTCTAGTTGTTTTTTACTAGGCTGACTTCTTTGATTTTTCATTTAAAGCTTGTTCACTACAGGGCTACACAGCCCATATTAGAACAATTAAAGCCCAAAAGGCTTCCTTTGGAAAATGTTTGGAAGTTTGCTTATCCATCCTATTATTCTTTATTACACAACTTTTGTTAAATGTGTGAATATTTAAGTAGATCACAGCTCTTACTAGAGCGATTATCTAACAATCCTTACTTTAGAGCTGGTCAAAGCTGTTGAATTAGGAGCCATATTAGGGGCTACTTTCCCCTCATTTGATAATACATTTAATAATAAATTAACATTTTACTTTTTGAAAACATCTAATAAAGCCTACATGGGAACTGAACTCGCTTTGTTAGAGCTACTAATACTTCGCTTTACCAGATGCGTCACAGGACTCCTCACAACGAAAACTACATTGGCTCAGTGAGAAAGCCACTACTTGCATAAATACAACACATATATATGCAGACATCTTGTAACTGATTTCAGTCCAAAGATAAAGTCACACCCGAGCCGTTTTAGATCAACCTATGGTCCTGTCCTCTTCTAGAGAGACTGGACTGTGTCTTTTCATCCACAGGCTGGACCATCACTTTACAACTTCAAAATAAACATTTTTTTATGAAAGTACAGAAAATGATGTGATAAAACTGCGAATCGCAAGACTGCACTGTAATATTTGAAGTAAAAGCTGCTCAATAATACAGAGCACGGAGTATTGTTTATTTATTTCTTTATTTTATGATGATCAGTATCATAATACATGTTTATCTAAGGCTTTTTGTTTTCATGTTGTCTTTCTCTTGCTCCGTTGTTTCTACCTCTATTCTACAATATATTTTACACAATTTATTTTACGGCACACTTTAGATTTGCATCTCACACGTTCTTGCTATCCAATGCATGAGAAGCCAATCAGGAAGTGACACGTTTGACCTTGTCTGGTGCCCACTGAAAACAGCGGGATGACTGGGTTCAGCTTAAATATAATGCCTTGGAGCCATCATTCAAACTACTCAGCTCTCTGTCGCTCGTCGCTAATGCTTGTTCAAACTGAGGTTTTGGGGAACAACCCACAATCATCAGGGCATTTAGGTCGTACAGTAAATGCTGAGAATTTTACTTACATGGTAAGCCACACCCTGGGAACCCTGCAACAGTGACCATGAAATTTAATCTACCACAGCTTATTAATGTCTATTGTTTTAAAAGCAAAGGGAATAAATATTTAGCAGGCTGTTTAACACTGAATTAGTCCTCAGTACGTCTTCTTCCATCAGTTCTCTATCCCAGCCGGCCAGTTATCACCCTGTTAGTCATCGCCGATATCCAATTACATCACTCATTCACCCAGGCCTATCCTCAATGGTACTTTTCAGATGTGCAAGGGGTCATTTAGATTGTCTCAAGAGGAGTTTATATACCACGCCTACAGAATTCCACCAACCACACATGACAAACCCAGAGTGCAACTGGAATTCCAGATTATTCTAAACTGAAGTGCTACAGTTTCTAGTTTTTATTTCAGAGTGTCCCAGAACTCTTTTATAACTTCTTTGGAGCACAGGCTTGACAGTGATCTCGCTATCACTGTGTTCACAGCTGTGCAGTAATCCAGTTAGGCACTCTGGCGTGGAGAGAAGGGCAAGGAAGCTTTGTACTCCATGTGTATGAAGCCTGCTCTTCCCGTACATGCCTTTCACATGCTCATAAATACAGCTTCACTCTTTTTCTTAGATATTTTTTTTTCCCCCATCCCTTTTTATGGCTCTTTTGTGGTGTGTGGTGTGTGCTTTTCCCTCTCCTCCCAGACCTGCCTCACTCCCTGCCTATCTATTCTCTCTTTTGTAAACAGATAAAAATGCTGCAATTCACATAAACGATTCGCTTTTTGGTGCTACTGGATTCTGCTTTTTTGTGTTCGTCCTGTTCCATGCTTAATATCCTGCACAGCAACTTTCAAACTGGGAGTTTTTAAAGGGCCCATATAGCATTGGAGAATTTTAGTCTTTATTTGTAAAATATAGAGCTTTTTACATGTCAGTTAGAATGAATCTTGACTTCTTGTATACATAGCTGCAATTTCACTGTCACCATTTTGGCAGGCAAGTTCTAGTTCATTCAGCAGTACTGTTGTGGTTTGTTACAAGATAAAGCCATACAGCATACAGTTAAAAATGTTTGCACTGGTTTCTTCATCAAACATGTACTGCTTTACTAGCTGCCAAAATTTCATGACAAAGAGACCAAGAGAAACAGTCAAACATGACTTAAAATTAAATCTTTTGCTACCTTAAATGTTAAGAAGGCTTGGCTTCTGCTATAAAGTTACTTTTTTAAGACAGTTAAGTTTTGTTCTGGTTGTGATTATATAACAGTCTTAGGGACACAGTAACAAAAACAGCCTGTTTAGATCTATAGGTTAAAGAAAAGTCAGAAAATGAATATGTAAAAAGAGCATTTTTGGTATTTACAATGACCTAAACATAAGAAAACGAATTAAAAAAAAAGTGGAAAAATAAAACAAAAATTGTAAATTGCAAACTGTGGACTATGGGCACTTTAAGTGAAATCTAAACTCACATGCTCAAGTTGAAATCTTCCTGCTCTGACTGTGCCCTGACCACTGACGCTGTTCATTGACTGCACCTGTGTCTAGATGGTGATACTTTTGTTTGTGTGTATATCATCCCTGTTTGGTCAGAGTCAGTTTACAAAACATTGTGTGTTCAGCTGTATTACCGAGCTATATTTCTGCACTTCCTGTTCTTTACTTCCATACTCGTATGCAAATTACATGCTTGGCTGATAAAAATAAGTTAACACATCCTCTACAGAGAACACACGTCTGCACATTTTAATGCACAATTACTGTTTATTTGCTAAATTTAACACATTGGAAGAAAAAAATGTGTCCTGTGCAAAAATCATGGCACGGTTTAGTTTTTATATTTTATCACAGGAAAAAATAGAAACTGTGCACTAAAATAAACAGAAAAATGCCACATTTAAGTTTGTAGAGGACATGTTCACTTATTTTCAACAAAATATGTCATTTGACCAGGTGTGTTCAAACTTCTACAAACAACCATATGTGTCTCCTACTTCTACATGTTTACAGTGTTGACCTAGTTAACCCAAGTTTTGTTAGACAATTATAGATATTCCTCAGATTATGTCGTCCACTTGTTTTCTGGCCCATGGTCATGATTAAGTTCTGAGTTCTGAGAGAGAGAGAGAGAGAGAGAGAGAGAGAGAGAGAGAGAGAGAGAGAGAGAGAGAGAGAGAGAGAGAGAGAGTGTGAGAGAGAGAGAGAGAGACAGACAGACAGACAGACAGACAGACAGACAGACAGACAGACAGACAGACAGACAGACAGACAACTGAGCACTAAGCATGTCAGTACCCAGGGGTGCAACAGAAGCTCTAAAAAATGATCAGCCTTGCCTCCATCTCATCCTGGTTGCCATGGTAATCACCAATCAGAAAAGCTCTCTGATGTCCATATGTGTCTCCAGAGGACGGCCAGACTGTGAACTCTGCGAGAACAGCTGATAACTGCAATAAGCCGCGTGAAGACGCTGTCTGTGTTGAGCTGCGTGTTGCACTTTTGTTCAGAGCTACAGAGCAATTTTCACTTCAGCTGCGCTTGCCATCAGACGAAAAAGAGCTTCATATTATTTATAATAAGAGACATGCACTCTCTCACTCGCACGCACACACACCAAAGAACAGATCCCCTTCTCTAAAACAGCAAAACCTCGGGCAGCAACGTTAAAAATTCAATTTCTGCCCTACACTGAGCTTTATTGATATCTTTTTTAAGTCGCTTTTTCATGAACAAAAAAAACAGCAGGCCGCCCAAAGGGTGGAAAAGCTGAGTGGCATTTTCAATAGCCTTCAGCTTGATAAAGCTGGATTATTTTTAGAGCGGTTGTTCTTTGTTCTGAGCATTTGGAACTGGCCTTAGCACAATAAAGCACTACTTGGAATGTAATTAGGTATTAGTTCAGTTTTATGAAGCATAGTCAACACTCAGACAGGTACTCAGTCAGAATTCGAGTCAGACAGAGACAATGAGAATACAGTACAACTTGAAGACCTAATTTAGGTGAGAGACAGAGAGACAGAGAGACAGAGAGAGAGAGAGAGAGAGAGAGAGAGAGAGAGAGAGAGAGAGAGAGAGAGAGAGAGAGAGAGACAGACAGACAGACAGACACTCACCTTTTTTGGCAGTTGCCATGCTCATGTCTGTCAAGACTGTACTCAGAGAGAATCCGTCACAGCCTCATGACGACTGTCATCTGGTCCCAAAAACCCTGAGAGAAAGAGAGAAGGAGAGAGAGAGAGTGAAGTTAAAAAGAGGTCATTTGATATTCCTAATAAAACTGGCACAACCTGTTGAGTTAAAGGGGAACCCCACCAATTCTTTAAAATTTCTTAATACTTACTTCAATTGATAAGATGTAAACAAAGGTCATTCAAAGTTGTTGACATGAAATGCTTCGTTTTAGAGAAACTTCCAGAGTATGACTTCTTCACAATGGTGGTGACAGGAACCAGATATCTAAGGAGACATTGTTCTGAAATAAGGTTTCGGTCTAAAATGTATTTTGTAAAACCTATTAATGGAGGAGATGGACATGCAGGACACCGTAAGGCAAAACAGTACCCAAAGAATTTCCCCCATTTAGGTTCAGAAGACACATTTAGGTTCACTGGTTGTTTTGGATAGTAAATAAAATGGTGATATTTGCATTGTAGACATTGTGACCCCTGGTTCCCATCACCACCACTGCTAAGAAACTGTAATCAAGAGTCTGTATAGAAATCTGAATTTCTCTGCAATGAGCCATTTCACATGAAACGACTCAGGACGACTTTTTTCACAACTCAACAATTGAACTGTGCAGAAATGCTGAAAAACTGGAGGAATATCTCTTTAAGGGGAAACATACACTGGTCAAGGCCAAGTGTTTTAAACTGTTTTTGTTTGTTTGCTTGTTTGTTTAACCCTTATAGTTTAACCAGTATCGTCATGGCTCCTAAATAACATAACTGTCTAAGCGGTGGCGCCATCAATCGGAGATTGGGAGTTTGTTCCCTAGTGATGATGCAGTCATCCATGGCTTTAACAGAACTGGTAGTTAATGTTCTCCTCCTCAGTGTGTTACTGGCAGTTGGAAAAGAAAAAAAAGATGTGGTGGCTGATTTAATGTGTCTCAAAGGAATCAAGTGCTAGAGTTCACCCTCCCAGCTGGTAGCATTGTGTGACCGGAGAATACTTAACTAGCGGATAGCAACTAAATTAGGCAGAAAACTGGATAAAAATCCCAAAAAAAAAAAAACACTTAAACTATCATTCAGGTAAAGCACCTACTTTCTTTCTCAGTTATCTCACCATTTCTATGTATTTGTTCAGGTCTCCACTGAAAACAATAATTTAACATTCAGAATAAACAAAAGGAAATAAACATATTCATTAAAAACCCTGAGTTTCATTAGTCTGGCACATGCCAAGCCTGCATTTGTCAGGATAAATCCACTGTTTGGCCGCTTTGACTTTTCATTACTTTTACCCAGCTGTGCTGGACATCACAGCAGGACAGACACCCCACAGTGCTGCAAATTTAAAAACACACAACAACACACTTTAAGAGGATTAGGTTCAAGCAGCACTTAATGGTTCTTAGGCTTTTTTCATTGTTTCATGGAAACTTCCATTCAGCACAAGCAGCCCAACTGCTCCAGTGTGGACCGAGCAGCTGAGCAGAGCAAATGGAAGGTCATGAAGGATAGTTGTGCACTCAGGGGCCAGAGATCAGGCTGAAAACAGACTTGAGAAAGCTGAAATGAAGGTGTTGCACACTACAGAAAACATATCAGGACCGCACAGCACAGTTCTGCTTGCATTTTCAGAGTATTAATATTTTGTGCAGAAGCGCCGGGTGATGAGTCATCTATACCATATCCTCACACTCTGTGACACAGCTTTTCAGTTTCTCTGCAGTCTCAAATCTCCTATACAAGATGGTGCCACTCCAATGACTTAAAAACAAACAGAACAATTTTAAATTGGATCCCACAGTATACAGGAAGCTAGTGTAATAATGCCAAAATGGGAGGAAAGCGGTCCCTTTTTTCGTGCCCATGAGAAGGCAAGCATTTTGGACTAAGTGCAAACGAGCTATTGAGGACTTAATGACACCCAAATACATACGTTTGCAGTAGTCTCAGCAAGATGTAATAAAAGCATAGATGACCTTTTCCAGGTTTTGGGGTGAGAGGAATACCTTAATCTTGGTGGCTGATCTCAGTTGGTAAAAGGAGCTCCTAACAACAGAGTTCATTTGTTTATCAAACCTGAGGTCAGGATCAAAATCAAATATAACCCCAAGGTTCTTTACCTGAGGCTTCACATGCCCCAACAGCCCACCATTAAGAGACTAGGTATGCCTGGAAGAGCCAAAGAGAATCACTTCAGTTTTATCTTCAGTTAATTGGAGAACACTGCCTTCAAACCAACACTTAATTTCACACAAACATTCATTCAGATATCTGAGTGAGCACGGGTCTTCAGGCCGCAAGGGGAGATACGAAAAAAGACAAAAAAAAAGTTGGTTCAAAAAATGAAATAAAACAAAACAAAACAAAAAAAAACAGCCAATTTAACTGTAAATAAATCAAAACTGGAATCAGCCATAAAATTTCATGATCTCTAAGTGATATATAACATTGTGATTTTGACTCATCCTATTTCTTCCTTTTCCCCTCTGCATCTCTCCTTTTCTGTCCTCCGGAGAGGCAGTTTTATTGCCTTTTATTTCTTCACGCCTGGGTCTCATTGGCTGTGACCAAAGGAGGACGAGGAACTGCTGAAGGTTTCTTATAATTCATTTCACGTAGCCAGCAGTGCTCTCGCCAAGCTGAGTGTACAGTAGAGAGACTCGCTCACACTGCTGCATGAGAGAGAGAGAGAGAGAGAGAGAGAGAGAGAGAGAGAGAGAGAGAGAGAGAGAGAAAAAGAAAATGACATTGTGTGTGAGAAAGTGTAAGAAAGTGAGGAGAGAGGGAGAAGTGGAGAGGGAAAAAACAAAGAAAATGAAAGTGAGTGAGAGCGCAAGAAAGTGAGTGAGTGGGGGACATGAAGAGGGGAGAAAGAAAGAAAGAAAATGAGAAAGTGAGACTGTAAGGAAGTGAGAGAGACACAGGAAAAAAGAAATTGTGCAAGAGAGAGAAACAGAGAAACAGAGAGAGAGAGAGAGAGAGAGAGAGAGAGAGAGAGAGAGAGAGAGAGAGAGAGAGAGAGAGAGAGAAGGCAGAGATCCAGAAAGACAGAGAGCAGTACTCCTCCTTACACTGAGAAAGGCAGGAAAACTGCCAGAGTGTCGAATGTTAACAGTGACCAACTGTTAGAACACAGTGTCCACTCAATTAAGGCAACACGGACGCAGATCATGAGCCAATCATCACAGACCAGACGGCTCTCAAACATGAACCAGTCCAGTGTCAGTGATCTCCACACCAAGATCCCCAGAGCATGAGCTCAGTACACCATTAACGGGGTTTAGCTTGAGGTCTTTTCAGGTTGATCATCCTGCATTTATAAGGTAAAAACAGATCAATCACTCTACTCCTCTCTTCTCTTCAGGGCAGTCAGATTACTCTATTGAAGTCTATTAGACCATTTAAAACAATCAATTAAAATCTCCTCAAATCAGTGCTTAGGAACAACAATTTCATTATTAATTAATTTGAATACAATATAAAATTATTAGCAATTAAAATCTTGTTCTTGATGAATCAGAAATTCTTATTTGGCAACTTGCATGATGATGATGCGTAGTTTAAATTCTCCTACTGGTTTCTCTTACAGTAAGAAGCAGAACTCATATATATATATATAGAAAAACAAAGTCTTTTTGAAGTCACCCTAAAATCAAAATGGATATTTTTACATTGTTATTTCATGTTCCTGGTCATATAAAGCATGATTCATCATATCCCATCATCAAGAGACAAAATTGAAGTGAATTTTGATTATGTCACTCTGCACCAGCAGGTGGGGAAAATAATAATGACCAATAAAATGTTTTACTTCCACCAACATGGAGAGAAAATGCTCAGCTAGCTTAGAGACCCTCCCTGATACTTTGTTTCTCTCAGAAATGCCATATGCAAAAAAAAAATCCTTATTTTTGACTTTTAAGAAGTGTTTATCTTTTTTCAATTTTTTCTCCATCTTTGCCAGGCAGTGTAGTTTGTTACCATTGCATTCATTTGTATTCTTTGGCATTATTTAACAATTTTAATGACTAATATTAACTTATTTAAATGACATTGTCAAAATAAGTGGTAAATTAGTCATTTACTAATTTAAATGTTAGTAATAGCCCAATTCCCAACTATTTCACAAACAATGCGGTGTGATCAGTGCTGCCATACAACAACAAAGACACCTGATGCTCAAGTAAGCGATTTGAGTCATCATGTATACTGATTACTGTAGTTCTTGCATCAAAAAGCCATTTCACACTAAAAGCTGACAGACTTCTGCACAACAGACATCTAGATAGTTATATAAGCCATTCCCTTATCAGTCACATCTTCCTCATAATATCACACTCTGTCTCTCTTCTCATACAATGTCGCTCATCTTCTCGCTTTCTCAAACGAGAGAGTTTGAGGGGCAACATGGACAAACCACCACAGTCTGATTCTGACACTTTAAAACACAATGGCAAATGTTATTTCTTTGATAAATGGTTAAAGACTTAGTCGAAAATGTTATTGTAAAAATGACACATTTGTAGTCAGGGGGGCAGTGATATGGGAACTGTGGGCTGATGCTGGTATTACTTATGTACATATCTGCTGAAGCCAATACATAAATACTTATAAAATGTAGAAACTGGGACTAAATGCAGCTGGAATAGCATTATTTTATTTATTTCTGCAGACACAAAAGTAAAACGAATAAAATGCATATATCGTAGCACAGTAATCTAGCGTTGCCTAAACGTTCTGCTCTTGTGAAGTAAATAAGCACATCATCAAATATCAGTTTGAAATACTGAAATATTGCTGCCCAACGCCAATAATTATTTTTAATGCAAATATCCAGTGATGGTGATTTGATTCATGTCATCGTGCATCCTTACTAGGAATGGGCATTTCAGACAAATTTGATATTCAGAAAAAAAACAAATAATAATAATAATAATAATAATAATAATAATAATATCTTTATTTTAAGAGCATTTTTCACACCGGTGACAGCTCAAAGTGCTTTAGATACAGGTGATAATGTTTTGCAGTAACAGACAAAGACAATGCACTATTACTGCACTATTTTTAAACACAGACTACAAATCTATAGCTTTTTAAACAGTACAGGTGTCAGCCAGAAGTCCTCAACGTAAAAAGAAAAAATGCTACTCCTCTGTGTTCACACCTCAGCTAACATTATTGGCACAGCAGCATCATATTTCACCTCATACCTTCTAGCTAGAAAACAGCGAGTATGTTAGCAGCTACTTAACTGACACCAAACATAAATTCATGATG